TTTTTTCCTCCAGCAGATGTGATTACACAATTAAATGCAATTTAGACTTAGTATTACAGAAAGGAGGAACGGGTGTTTAAAAAAAAAGGATTGTAAAACAGGATTTGAAAGATATCTCTACATGATTATCATTTCCTCCTACATAAATAGCAGAGCAAAATGACATATAAAATAGAGAAGAGAGAATATTACCATGTATCATGTTACTCAAGGATTCTCAATCTTTCCCTAAAATGTTTCCTCATTTGTTGAAAACATACTGAGATTGATTTTAAATGTCCTATTGATAAAAAATAAAGTTATAATTAATATTAACTAACAATAGGGAGTTTCTTATATTCTATGACCATCACTGTAAGCTGACAATAGAATCAAATGTAGTGATATCTGCACACTATGCCATAAAGCCCTCAAAGGATTTTGTCAACATCAGACAATGGGGTTCACATATCCTGTAATGAGCTGAAAAAAATACAAGAAAGCTAGTATTTCTTCTAATTTTACATATACTCCTTATGATAAAGATAAATTATGCTACAGGAGACATTGAACTATGTCAACTGCAGCTATAAGATTCAGGGTAGTATCTAAAGTGGAACTTTCTATAAAGTGGTTTTACATATGGATAGATAATAAAATTCTTTAATTATTATTATATTTTTTTATAGCTGGTTTATGAGCAAATGTGAAAATAAAATGAATTTTCCATTCTCAAACCTAGAATTCCTGGTTTCTGATACAATGATATTTGATCATTTATCATTTCCCTACAGAATTATTACAGTGACAGGTAATGTTTCTACCAAGATATTTCTAATGTATTATTGTTTATAAGGGCAAAGGACTTTTAAAGGTTTCTGTATTTCTCATCATTTTTCATTCTTATGGAGAAGAAAAATTTCCACACAATGAGAATCTAACTTCAGGAACGTCTAGTGTAACCTCACAAAACCTAGCATTTGTATTGAGTCTGATGAGTAGGCAGCATTTGACATCATATCACTTGACCTGGACGGGTTTTCTCCCTTCTTTCTTTATTCCAACATCCTCCTGTCGATTCTGCATCAGGTCACATTTTGTATCTAAGAGAGAAAAAGCCTGGAGCAAAGACTTTCTTATTTGTAACTAGCATCTGCCACCAAAAAATATCTTTATTTGTAGCCAGTGTTGAAGACAAACACAAAAAATTTCAATCTCTTCCTACCTGTATTGAAAAGCAATCACTACAGTAGTAACAGCACTTTAAGCACCAACTACTGTTTGTGAAATAGACTATATGCATCCATGATTAGCACATGAGTATATTGCACATGTCTGTGTTGACACTATGGTTTTCAACCTAGTGATTTATGTACTAAATGGATGTCTGTATACATGCGAACATACACATCTCTATTATGGGACATTAGCATATGAACATAATGTATTTTCATTTTGGTTAAGTGATAGGATGCTTTTTCTTCATGTTCCTAAGCTTAACTGCAGGAATTTTTGAAAATCTTTTAGGACATGTTAAGAATTAATGTTGAAAATAGCACGATAACTAAAAAATAAACAAACAAACAAATAAATAATCACCAAACTGACAGCAGAAATGTTTTATAAATCATACCAGGAAGCTGATTGACATAGATGTGACATAAAAGATCTGTAATATATTGTTCTGGTTTCACTATAGTAGGAACACAGTAACAATGACAACAATGAAAAGAATCCTAGAACTTACTTTGCCACAAGCCACACTGTGATATTTCACTGGTTGTAAATCAATAAAGGGCAGGAACTTTGCCTTATCCTTTGTATTCTCAGTATCAAATATAATGTTAAGGACATAGTAACAGCTCAAAAAATGTGTTGAATGAATATGTGACTCTGAAAAATGATGTCAACCACTTAAAGTAGAACTAATCCTATTCATGATTATACAGGAGTGATGATCATGATACCAAATGCAGAAATAAGTAAGCTTGAGGGCTAATATCATGCCATCATCGTCTGAAAGTTGCCCAAATATTTGATGGCACTTTTTGGTATTTTAAATTCAGTTTTTGGTAGCTTGTTTCCAGCTGACATACAGACAAACAATACATTTTTGCTATAGTGTTAAATTTCTACATTTGGTTGAAACAGTACCTCGGTCAACATGAGACTGCAGGTAGTCCTCAATTTAAAACATATTTGAGTTATGATGAACCACACTTATGACTGTATGTTTTTCTCTTTTTTGGGAGCATCTTATTGTTAGTAATATTAGTACATACAGTGTTGTAGTACATAATTTGCTGATATTTTCATTTTCAGGTGCTCACTTGCAGATGTTTTTTAAGAGATTATTTTATTTATTTTATTGGTACTGAGAACATACACCAATTCAATAACTTCTACATGTACAATTTAGTGACACTCATTATTCTTCAAATTGTGCAACATTACTCACCCTCCTTTGTGAGTTATTCCTCCCCTATTAGCATAAATTCATTGCCCCTTAAAGTTCCTTTATGATCTCTCAAGTTGCTGTTGTTACTTTAATCCCATATAGATAATTCTTTTTTTTTTTTTAATTGTGATTTGGGTGAAGATTTAAAGAGCAAATTCACTTTCCATACAGCAGTTCACATACACTTTGTCTCATGACATTGACCACAATTGACCTAAATGCAACAGCTCCCCTCCCACTTCCTCCTGATAATTACCTCTTCTCTGTGTCCATCCCTCCATGCCCTCCTTCCCTCTGAGCTGTCTCCCTGTGCATAAGCAGCCCTTCTTTCTCCCATGATTGTTCTCTCCAAGGAGTGTATCTATGTCAGGTAAATGTTCAACTCCTACACCTCTCTTTTGCTTGGCTGGAAGCCACAGATGTGGGTTCAATTCTGGACCTGACGGGAAGCTAGGGGCCATAGTCTCCGTGGT